CCCCCCCCCCCCCCCCACAATCCCCAGATGAATTGCTGCTCTGTCCTGCACCCACCCCGCCCTGGCTGGGCAGTGCTTGCTCCATCCCTTGCCCCAGCCCCAACTCCACTCCTCCCTCACTGCGGGGCCCTTGATCTCCCCCCCACCCCATGTCCCTTCCCCTTCCACCATACCAGACTTATCAACTGCACACAGCTCTTCGCTGCCTATGTACTATGCTGTGGCTGCATGCATGCACAGGCCATTTATCATTCTAATTATCAGTCATATCAGGCCAATTTCTGATGCAGACAATATTTTTTTATATCGGTACCAATTTGATATCAGACCGATGTACTGGTACACCTCTAGTAGATACAAAACAGCTTAATTTGGGTTTATATGTTGACTACAACAATCTAATCCCAAACTGTGATGCAATAAGATGTTGGACATTAGCAAGAGCTTGAGGAAGGTACTCTTGTTAAATTAAGATAAGAAGGGATAATTATAGCTATTGTTTAGCTTTGGTCTCTATCTAGCTCCTTTCCTTTTTGTTATCTAACAAACATTATCAAAAGGTTAGGCAGAGTACTTCTACAGACTACCAAATTAAATCTGTGCTCCTGAAAGTGGACTAGGTTATTTAAATGGACACTATCAACTTAGATTTTTTTAAAAATGGGTTAATTTGAATTCAGCTTTCTGATAAAACCCCTTTAAACTGTACATCCTAAAAAAATCTGTTAAAATATATTAAAGAATGTTGATATTAAAAATTATCTGGAGTAAGAGGCAGACCATGTGTGGCTTTATCTCTGTTCCCCTTTCCTTTTTTTTCTCTAAGAACAGTCTTTTCTGGTGAAGAACATGCAGCATCGACAAAATAGTGAAACTGAGTATATACACATAGTTAACTTTAGAAAATAGAACTAGTAAACAAGAAATAATTCTTCCCCAGTCTCTTTCAATTCAGAATCTTAAGAATTGTTGGTAACACTAGTATATAGCTGTTTTCAAACTGAAATTTGATTTCCAGTTTGATAGGTTTCCTTCAAGGAAGAGCACAGCACTCTATGCAGCTGGAATGGGCCTGTTTTGTCACCAGTTAATTCATACATGGCACCTTTTTATAATCAGGCAAGAACTTGACCCATCTCCACTTCACTTAAGATTGGTCAAGTAATAGTAATGCCATCAGCAAGTGGATCTTAAATCAAATCCTGTAAGTGACATTGTGTTGGAATACTGATATTATTTGATACTGATTATAAATTTGATGCTCTTTTACTCTGTTTAAATACAGTTCTTTGAAAACAGTGAAGCACATTCTTTGTAAAACATTAAACATGCTTTCTATTACACTATTTAATGACCAGTTATACATGTACTCCTATGGTTCCCTATCATTGCCAGACAGTTTTATTTGGTGCTAAAATAGCATAAACATTAGTGGTTTGCCTTTACAGATAGCGTTTGGGCTTTTGATGCTGCTGACTTATTCATTCCTGTTTAACTACCTCTCTGTCCGGAGTTCCTCTTCTCTCCCGTGGAGTACTTCGACCCACATCAGTGAAAGCAGAAGAATAACTTCCAGAGGACTCCTGGTCTACTGAAAATGGAAAGCAGGTTAATTCTGTCTTATTTCTAGCTTTTACTTAAAAGGAAACTACATCTAAAAATGTATAACAATGGAGAGTTTGAATCTGAACATAAATATATATTGTATTCAAATGCAGAACTCAGTGTGTGCAAGCTGTAGGAGCAATATGAGTATTCTGCTCCTTAACTCTATATTGCACTAGGGTTTCAACAAATGGAACCACTAGAGAAAAGGGTATAAGATAACAGTATTGAGAACTCAGCAGGAAAAATTTCCTCAAATGATAACAATGTAAACACACAATTACATGCATGACAGATTTTTAAAATTGTTACAATGATTGAATGATGAATAGAATATTTTTCTGTGTTATGGCCCAGAATTAATTTCCTCTTTACCCAAGTTGTTTATTAGGTTGCACATAGGAAGTTAGAAGGCTGTTACTGTCATAAAACAATTTTATTTTAAGGCAGACTGTGAGAGTGCACCAATGAATACTCACCATTGTGAAAGACGTATTTGCTGTAAAGCACAGTTTAAGATAGGACACTACCTGCATTTATATATTTTAATATATTTGACAAAGAGTGTCCTTAAATAGAAGTTGTGCACCCTCCATGATCTTGCAGGCTGCTTGCATAATAGGAAAATAAAGGGAATTATTTCAGGTTTATAAAATTTTGGAGGACTGAATGAACTACCTCCTTTCAGTCCTCAGATTTCCAACTGTATTTTCCTAGTGCCACAATGACATCTGGAAAAGAAGACCGCAAATATAATATTCATTTCCTTTTGTTCAGTTCACACAATCTGTTCACCCAACCTGTGCCTCTACCAAGAAGTACCAATAGTAAATACAAAATTGAAAGCAATCTCTACACCGTTTTGTGGTTAGCCTTCTCTGAGTCTTACAAAAAGACAGACTGACTCTGAATGCTTTTTAGTATATTGTGCAGTTACTGTGTAAAGGTTGCAAATGAAAATAAGGGTTGTAAAGCAGTGATAGGGAGGAAAAAGAAATATCAGTCATCGGTTCTGCCAGCAATTTTTGGAACTTAAGCATTCTGGCCCCAATACAGGATATTTTCTTCAGACAGGCTGAGGACAGAAGTTACAGATAAACCAATAATAGAACAGAAGCTCAGTTCACATAAACCAGTATCAAAATGTCTGAAACTGGCTTAAGATGAACCTGGTTGAATGTAGTATCAGACTTAACTGATTTGGGTCAGACCGGGTTATGAAACTTCTGTTCCAGACCCCTTCCTGGTTCAAGTTAGATCAGAGTCCCTCAGCTTCCCAGAATGCTTTGCAGCCCTGGGCTGGGCTGTGCAGTCTGCTCCAGAGAGCAGGGCTGGCCCTACCCCTCTGCTCCCTAGCTGGAGCAGTGAGGGTCGGCTGACAAGGGGGTGGGGGTAGGAAACATGGCTGGGGACCACGTCCAGATCTACCAGGGGGGAGGGCAGCCCCTCCCAGACTTTCCTACTGGAGCGGAGGGGGCAGATGGCTTTGGCCGGCAGGTTCAGATGGAGGGGAGGGAGGAATGTTTAAACCCCCTCTTCCACCAGCATGGGACCCCAGCCAGGGTCTGCTTGGCAGGGGGTCAGCAGGAGACCGGCGGAGTCCACCCCCTCCCACCTCTGGCAGTAACTGAGGCAACCAAGTTGATACAGGGAGGGGAGGGGGGTGTAATGCTCCTCTGCTCCTCCACAGCATGGGGGAAGGGGAAGAGGCTGGGGAACCAGGGCTGGAGGAACTGGTCCCCTGCCACCTTGGTGAGTACAGGACCAAGCCCTGCAGGACCAGACTGAGAGGTGAGGGTGTTGGCAAAACCTGGCACAATTATCACATCTTTGTGACGGAGCTAAGGGAACAAGAGAGGGTCCCAAAGAAAGCAGAGAACTATGTTTAGATTATAAAGCAGAACCTGTACAAGGTGGGAGACTGGAATACTTAAGCACAGACAAAAGACACTGAATGCATGAAAGTCCTGCCAAAGGTGCTATAGGTGAAAAGTACACTAATGTCAAGGCACCCAAGGGGGAGAAAGGGGTGCAAGTGCACCTGTAAAACCCAAGTAAAGCTGAGGCCTGTGGGATCTCCACTGCAATGCCTAAAACTACCTGCTGATTCTCCAAGAAGGGCTTTATTAATACCTGGCTGTAAGGAGACTCTGCCCTCAGGTTTACATAAGACTTATGCAAGTCTTTCTCTTGTTTTTTTGGTTTATTACATTCCATTTTAAGGTAGACTAAGTTGTATGTATCACCCTCCAGCGTGCTAGTCCCAAGCTGGGGCCTGGCCAGACTCTTCTGCTTGAGCAGGGAGGGGGAGAAAACCTTTGAGCTTCAGTCCCTTCCCTTTGGCAGTGGTTGGCAGGCTGGGAGCCATGCTCTAGTGCCCCTGGGCTTCTGGCCTGAGCCACTGCAGGCATGTCGCTGCATTTCCTGAATCAAAAGTGAATGTCTGTTCACTTGCTTCTCAGTTTAAAATCTGCATCTTAGACTAACATGCAAAGACTGTACTTAGCCTCAAAGCCTACACACCTGTTACAGAGACTGCTTCCAAGTAATAGGCTGTGTGTGCTATATCTTAAATTGCAGCCAAAAATGTGGTTGGAATGTTCTGAGCGCATCCCCTGTGCCTTGAGGTAGATTGAATGATGTAGCTCCAGAAAGAATAGCTTCTGTTACTTGAATAAAACTCCTAGCTCACTGTAAAAAGATTTTCTGTGATTCTTACACTATAAACTCATGGACCCCTACCCTCCTTATTATCCCCTACACTTGTTTGACTTCAGTTGCCATGTTATGTGGCCTGGAACAACATTTTTATTATCATAATAGTATGCTTATTCTCATCTGTGATATGAGTCAAAGAAATACCTGGCTAACACACACTGGTTACCATGTGCTACGAAACTGCCATTGCAATCACTTCATCTTCATCATACCCAGCTTTTCATTGTCACCAAAGCTATTATATGAGTGGGGGTTTTAGTAATGATTTTCAAGTTTTTAAGGACCAATGTAACCTTTACATGGTGTAAACAGAACCGCATGCATTTCTGGCTGCATTAATGGAAATTTCTGCATATGTTATGGGGGCATTATGTTATACTATCTTTGATCTTTTGAGTACGTGAGTGCACATATGTGTATCTGAATGGGAGCAAAGTAATAGCACTCAATGAGAAAGCTGCTGAGCCATTCTACCTATGCAGGAGAAAATGTCTAGAGGGGCAGTGCAGTCAGTAGAAACACCTTGATACTGCTCCAGACTGGAGTGGTATCTGCTGTCCAAAGGCCTGCTGCTAGAAAGTCAATTATACCTTATAGTGAGTGAGTTTCTGTTCAGTGTCCTGTCCTCTTCTTGCTTGGATGCTCTAAGACAGTGGGGGCAAACTTTTCTGGCAGGTGTACAACAAATTAAGCCCCGTGTCCTCTCTGAATGCCACTCCAATCCCTTCCTTCTGCCTTATGTGCCACTCTGCTCTCTGCCCTCTGCTCCCTACCTGATCTGTTGCTTTGCTTTCCGCTCCTTACTATGCGTTTCATGCCTGATCTACTGTTCTACTTTCTGCTCTCTGCTTTATCTGCTTCTGTGCTGCCTGCTCTCTTTCTGATCTTCTGCACATCACACACTGAGGTGGCTCCCGTTCCAACTGTGGCACACGTGACAGGTTGGCAGCCCCTGCTCTGAGGGGTTCCCTTGTTTGTTCTCTAACTCTATGGGACAGGCAGACACCTGAGAGAACACGATGGATGGGCAAGAGGGCTAGTCATACTACCTTTCACCACAATTTTGCAGACAGCAAAGAAATTCTGTTTTTGGGTTATGTTGGAGGAAAGAGGCTCTTGCACCTTTTCCTACCCTTGCACATCAGCATCGCAAAGGGTGAGAGCTTGTTGATAACCAGAAGGCCAAAATGTGAAATACAGCTTCACTGAAAATATCACTGGTTATAGAATTATTTTATACAAGAAACATACAACTTTAGGAGACTGCCAGACTTTCTGTGACTGTTATTTCTAGCAGATACCATATTTTGAGCTGAATTTCAAAATTAGATCCAAATACTGTTTGTAGTTATATTACTGTACCTCTACAGAAAGCCTAATAACTATCTAGCAATTATCATTACTCCAGATATTTGCTGATGCAAGCAGAAGCTGAATCTGGGTCTTTCTGTACACATTTTCTAGTTCTATTTATAATGACTCATTGCATTTCAATGAGATGTATAAATAATTACCACGTCTCAAAAACATAAGTAGTAGAACTATAAATTGTATTTTTAGGTGTTTTTACTGAATCTGTTGTTTTTACTCTCTGCATTTTGTTTAACAAGTTGAGACAGAATGGCAGCAACCTTGATATTTTTTTCCAAATGTGGCACTAGCAAAAGTTACAGAAAAGAATGTGAAAATTAAAGATAAGACAAGAGGAGCACACATGACTATACTGCACAATGTGTACAATAGTCTTAGTTTTCTCCACATCAATTTTATGATTTCAGGAATGGCCATATAAATTTTCATTGAATTAGTTCACTTGAAATAATTTAAATTCATGCAATGATTCTGCTTTTAAGAGAAGTTAACAATAAACTTATCAAGATGATAGCAATTAACTTTATACTAGCTTTAAAAGAGGATCACTGTCAAGACGGATCAGGTTTTATTTATATTCACCTTCACAGTGTCCTTCAGTTTTGTTAATTTTCCTTTTCTACTTTGCACTTTGAAAAAGATACGGCAACTGTTAACATGTAAATTAAATTAAAAGATCTAGCTTTGTTGCCATGGAATTGCAACTTGCATCATTTGATCAGTGAAAATGGAATCTTTACTATTCATGGACTAAGGGTCTATTCACAAAAACTGCACATGCAGCTTTGATCAAATTGTACAAAAATGGACATAGTGAGCATGTCTCAGCTTTTTGACAGTTGTATACACTGAAATAGTTGGCGGAACATATTATTAATTTTGTTATGCCATGCATAGTTCATTAATAGAAATGCAGTGAAGGCTTTCACCACATTGTTTTCCATTTGTCTATCACTTTACAATGCATATATATTTTTTATTGTGAAACCCTTTCAGTTGTCTAAAAATCTCTTCTCTTAGGGACTCAATTATTAAAAACGGCTTTGTTTAATTTGTAGCATGGATTATAGATTGGAAATCACTGTTCCAGACTTGGTGACAAAAATAATGCTGCCATTATTTGATAACCAGATTATTACAATTTTGTGAATAGACAATTAACTTATTCCTCTAATATTAATCAGATGCATCAATGGGAAAACATCATCCTTTCTGTGGTGAACACTTATTTTAACCTGCATAAATCCTTGGTAAAAATGAAATGATAGGGGGTTGAAAATGAAAGGCACAGGATGGATGAGTGAATCACAAGAATAAAGGAAAGGAAGGTAATCCACCTTGGAAACACAGTGCACTATCATTGTCTTGGTGGTTGTTGTTGGTTGTATCCATGTCTTGGAAAGAGGCACTAAGAGGTAATCTTCCACAATCGTTCTGGTACAATGGACAATGAATAGCACCATCTTGAGGCAGTGGATGAAAAGGCTGTTGCATGGGATTCTTTCTAACAGCTTTCAGAGATGAATTCCTTTCTGGAATGTCTGGGAGTAACTCTGTAATAAGTCTATGCAATATACTGTTGTCAGGCAAGCTTCCTCTTCTCTTTTCTGCTTTAATTTGGTCGCAGATATCTTTGAGAGCAGAGTCTAATGCTTCAAACACAGATGACTTGCTTTTAGTCTTTTCAGTCTGTTTTTTAGGGGTTGCACTTTTTTTCCTTCGGAAAGGCACTGGACTGACTAGGAATGCTATCTTAGAGAGACCAGATTCTGCTTCTTGTCTCCTTGGATCTTCAGTACTTTCCTGTTTAGCCCTTTCATGCTTTAGCATGGTGGTGAAGCGGGTATAGGATGCTGGGCATCTACCCTTGCAGGAACTGATGAGATGTCTGTGGTGGTGGTGATGGTGGTGGTGGTGATGGTGGTGATGACCTGAACCATAAAAACTCTCAGAGGAGGTGAAGGAAAAGTGATCAAAGTCACTTTCACTACAAAAGGAAGAACCTTCTATCTGGATAAAGTCACTGAGGTCAGAGACCACTCCATCTTGGTCGCTGTCTGAAAAATCCATGTGAGATCTTTGTGGTTCATCAGTGGTCACTTCAATATGAATTGGCACCAGAGTTTTAGGCTTGCAGTGTCGTTGTACCTGAGTGGGATGTCTACCTTGATTTTCCTCTTCCAGCAAGGATTCAATAGAAAATCGCCTCTTTGGACATAAGCCATTTTTAGGAGGCTCAAGTGTTATTGTTGATAATGTTTCATCGCCTAGATTCGGCATTGATTTTGACTTCTGAATTAATTTTTCAAATTCAGATATCCTGGTAGGAACCATGTCCCTGGGGACCTCTTCAGTAGAAGATTCTCTCCAACCTTGAAGCATGCCTTTGTGCTGTTCTTTCTCATATTGTAATATTCTGGACTTTACAGAACAAATCACCTCAGAGTTCATTAAATCTTTGCGATTGATACGATGCATTTTTTTGTACAGTTTTAGGAATCCTGGGGCATCATGGGCTGATCTATGACGAACCCTTGACCTACCATTACTGCGGCTGTCAGGAACATAGGGGGAGGCCCAGACCATGGAGCAAGTGTCCTTGGAATCCTCCTCACATAACAGAGAACCCATGCTTTCAGACTTGGCTTGTGCATCAGCAAAGTTGTCATGATCATCTGTTAGCAGATCATCGCAGCTACGAGATTTCCGCTTGGGAGAGGCAGTTTCTTCTGTGCTGCTCCAGACTTCTGCATTCTGACGAGTCATTTGCCAGCCATTTTTGTAGCTGACTGCCCTTCTTGAATCACTTGGAACAGCTAAATGCTGTTGGTAAGTGCTACAGTAATCTAACTCATTTGAGGCATTGTGGTTGTGCATTGAATAACTGAAAAGGGATGGATGTACTCTGCTAATATCCCCACCTTTATAATCCATAGAGCAGCATGGTAAAAAAGAGACATTGCCAGAAATTAACAGGTTCAAAAAGTTGGAAATGTCAATAAATATCAGAAAGAACAGAAAAGAGAAAGCAGTTATTGTACTTAGTCTAGCAATCAAGGTCAGTACATACATTATTAAAAATTAGAAAAGAAGAACAAGTAATCCATATTAAACAGTTATTTAGTTTTCCAAATGCAAACATTTACTATGCATGATTTAAATATCAGAAGGGATTCAGTGCCATAGGTGTCTAATCATCTCCAAATTCACTTAAATATTGGGGCATTCTATCTATAAAAAAGTACCACTGGTTCTGCAGGGGATAGTAAGATAAATAAAAGCTACTGGAAGCCAAAGCAAAAATCCTAGATCCAGAGACACCCAACTCTGAGAGAGCTTGAATCCAGATAACTAGAAGCCACAGCAATTAATGTTGCCACTGCTTCCCAGCCACCACATTTCTCAACTTGTGGGGAGCTTCAGATGGTGTGGCTGTGTGGACTGGATTTGGCCAGTGGGCTGGAGCTTGAGCACCACTGGGTTCCAGTTTCACATTCTGCACTGCTTTGCCACCAATAAAACACTGAACTGGAGTTGCAAGTTTTAACTATTCAGGTAGCACCGTGAGATGAGTCCTGCTCCATGGCCAATTAGCTTAATGGCAGATGCTCTAAAGGAATGTATTCCTCGATATAGAGACTACTCATATAATAGCTACTGCTCCTTTTTCCAAAGCATGCTTGGTTTAACTATTACCTTTCCTGCTATCATCTTCCCCACTGTTAATTTGCTATCTCTCCTTGTTTTCTTTTGTTGCAACCTAGCCCATAAAATCTCTGGGTGAGGGGCTGCCATTTAAAAAATAAATGTACACAGTGCTGAGGACAAAGTGGGCCTGATTACAAATCTTAGCTGATAGATAATGGAAAGAAAAGGGGAATAGGAAGACTAAAGATGCAGTACTGAATGTTCATTCCCAATATAAATAATTGCTATAATGCCTGCAAACCTTTTGTCTTACTTTAAAAATAAAAATGTGGTTACAAGAAAGAACTACTGGGAAGAAAGGGAGGAGAGGCTTGAAGGGCTGTTAATTAATAAAGGACTGTCCTACATACAAAGCAGAAACAAAGGGTTGCATCTAACCTATTATGTGCTTTAAGCATTAACAAAATTAATCAATTCAGTTTCATATGAGGGGTGCTTTCTTGCTTAATTAGCTCTTTAGAATGTATCACCTGTCAAAAATCAGCTATAGGCTTGAACAAGGGGAGAAAAGCTTTCAAGATTTCTTGACCTGGCAGTAATCATGAATGCTGTTTCTCATCATTCATGTTCTATACATATGGAAAGCATTTAAAACTTTTTAATAACTTCATAAATACTGGTAAGAATGCAAGGTACTAAATATACTTTTAAGAGATTATGTGAAATGAAGCAAATAATTTTCTTTCTTTAAAATGTGCTGTAGATCCTGTATGTGGCAAACCCCTTTACAATCTAGATTTGAATCAATTAAAATAATTATGCATGAATAAATATGCTAACTCCTCAACAGAAGACAGCTGCTACAGTTCTCCGTAATAACAGCAGGCAGTTCCTTCCAATTATTACCAACTTTCTGTATAGTTTATGCTAAAATCTCAGGAGTTAACTAAGCTCTTGTCTATTTTCAGATTTGTTTGGCTCTTACCTTTTGCTTTTGATGGAGAAGAAGGAGAAGAGCTAGTGAAAGGCTTTCTGAGGGTGTTGTACAAGCCTTGTGCATCTGCCCGACCTAAACTAGGCCTGTTTGCATTTTGATCGCTGTGTGCCCTCTGGTGACTTACAGCAGGCTCTGACTTCCTCCTTTTCCTGTAGTCACTTGCAGTACTTGCAGAACTAAAGAAATAATCAATATTAGTTCCATTTTAGGCTTTGAACCCAGCATTCACTTGAATGCCTTCTCCCCACGGATCAATAAGGCGGCCCAATAAATCATCAAACACTTAACAGCAGAGAAGGAGTTAGCCTATTAATCACCTGGGAAAACTGCTCCATGTGTCATCTCTGGAAGCACAGTCCTCCGCCTGTTTCCCCCTTACATACCTGGTGCTCACAACAGGCTTCAGCAGGGATATGGGAGGGAAAATCTCTGCCCATCTAGAATGGCAGCATTTTTTCCCACATCCTCCAAACCCAACCCAACATACGTGTTGTGAGCAATGTTATACAGGATGTAAACAGGAGTCAGAGGGTAGACATAAGAGAGTAGATATATGAAGAAATCCTAAATCAAGGTCAATATGAAAGAACAGGATTTAAGATCTTATGCATTCAAGGGTACAGGTATCTAGGATAGTAGATACTGATGCAAACCTTGTAGGTTTGTTAGCTTGTCTACTGTAACTAGCATTTGTCTTGTTTACTGTATTATTTCTTACCTAGAAGGTCTCTCCAGGCCTTTGTCTGTTGAAGAGTGATATAAGGAGGTCTGTAAAAGCAAATAAGTGAATCTATTAAATTTCTATAGTTTTCTACTGTCATTGTGAAGCAATTGTCATTTAATAAACTATAAGAAGCCTGGATAAATCATGATAAATATCTTGCACACTCCAAGTTATATGTACTGGAATATTTATTAAGAAAAGTTATGCAATTTTTAAAGAGCACCATTACGTTTCTTAAACCAATTCTATTTTAAAAGTACTATTGATAAAAATCCAAAAATGCTAGTGCCTTTCTGCACATTTTTTCAACATTAGATACTGTGATTGAAATAAACTTTACAGTAAAACATAAAAAGAAACTTCTAAGAAGAAGTTTTTTATCTGGTCACATGGCCTGCATCATTTCTCCCAATTACTCACCAAAGTATTGATATCAATTACAGCTGGAAACTCCTTGTATAAACAGCTGAAAGAGACATGAGTTTTGTAGCCAATTGTTGGTTGTCCTAAGTTCATATTATGAACAGTTCTTATCACAGAAGCCTTTCCACAGCTGTAAAATGTCACTGCTGTGAGAAGATGGAATGTAAAGCTACTCTGAAATATTTTTAACTTGTCAACGTAAGTTCAAACTTAAGTGATGACTACGTTTAAACCAATCACTTAATGGATTTCCAGGCTGCAGCCAGAATTAGAGACACACAGTATTACAATTTGTGAAAGCTAGAAACAGAATCACGTTGTCCCTGTGGCGCCTCTTCATGGGTACAAAGCTGTCATTCAAATGTTAAACATATTTTAAGTTCATGCTATACATTTCAGAGCTGAACTAATGAACTGGAAATAGAATTTGCACAAAGTCTTGCAAGCTGCAGGAACTACTTTCTTTGTACAGAAGGGTATAGGGACTGTGAAATCACAGAGAAAATATATAATCATCTTGAGCTCTTTTTAGTTTCACTATATTTCTTTGTCAAATTATGTGAGAGGCATATAATTACACCTCTAGAGGTCCTCCTTGGTTTGAGAAATGTGTTGAAATAGATTTTGTAACATCATTAGCATTCTGCACAGCACATGCATTCCACAGTGACAGTCAATACTACCTAAATGTAATGGGTTCTATAAGGACAAGATATACGAGGGACTCTTTAGAGCTAGCTGTCTGTAATTAGTTTTCAATTGCCTGCCTTCTTTAACCACCTATATCACACAGAAATTGATTCCATGAAAACACTAACAGAAATTTTTATTTTGTTCTCCAGTGTACTTTATCACATTTAAATACAGAGATAATCCCACAAGCTTGGATAAAGCATGAATCAAACATTTTCTAAAACACAGCTGAAGTTTTAGGCAACTTTGCCAGTTATTTTTGGCATTTTTACATGTGCTCTCAGAGGAGTGGGAGGGGGTGCTTTAATTACAGTGGCTCTGAAAGTGCCCAGAATGTCTTGTGTATCAGCATCCCCACACTTCAAAATGGCAGCAGGGGTGCTTTATCTAAAGCTTGTCTAATGAGCTTTAGTTAAAGTGCCCCCACCCCATTCTGAAGCATGGGGACACTGATAGATGAGACATGGAGGCTGGTTGGAGCACGGTAATTACTTGAGTCTTAATTACTCGAGAAATTAATTAAGTCTGCTCTGATGCACTGTAATTACAGCGCATCAGAGCAGCCTCTGTGATTGTCTATACCCACCCTCTAATCAGTTGGTTAATAAGATTTAGTATTATCTCATTTCCATGGAAAGGGAAGCTGAAAGTTGTTAAAAGCAAGAACTATACAAAACTGCAAAGATGTGTAGATTAGTTACCAGAGAAAAGACTTGCTGGTGAGCTCTAGGTAAAGATATATATGACTTGTTATTCATCTGAACCAAATTTATTTTGGTTTACTGATCTATATTACCATCACATACCTGTATGACTGAAATGCCCAGAAGCCCCAGTCAGGGCCCTACCATATAAACACATACCAAGATGTACTCCCTGGTTCAAAGAAGTTACAAATCCAAAAAATACAAGTGACTGTAAAGGTGATAGAGAGGGAACACTATAAAAATGTACAAGTAGAAGCATCTCTGAAAAGCAAACTTTATGGAATTTCTATTTTCAAGAAATTTCAAAATGTCAATGTTTCGTTTCCCATGAACCAAGAATTTTAAGACTTGGCCAGGTCTAGAATCCAGTGTGTTCTTTTTCAGTTGATTCTGAAACAAAATATGCCATTGGGTAAAGTTATGTGAAGACTGCAAATCCTTCAAGAAAATAATTCCCCTTCAGTCTTTTCAGCATTTTTATGTTTATTTCAACTAACTCTCCAGGGATCGATGAGAGCCTCTTCCATGAGTGATCGCTGGTAATGTGTCCGATGGCCAAGAGCTCCCAACTTGACAAAAATAGCAAAGTGCATAAAGATAAAGATATGGACACTGTTTTTGTCATATGAGAGAAACCAACTCTCTCATCCCTTGATAGGTAGAGAATATACTGAGTTTGGGCAGTATTTTTTTAAGTACCATACATTCCTGTAGGAATGTGCTGTTGGGGACTCTTTGGAATCCCTTTGTTAACATTGTATCACCATGCTGAAGGGCGAACTGAGGCAATCTCATTTTTACTGATGGAGTTCTTCCCCCTTTGGATACTGTTAAATCATCCCTGCCACTGATGCCTTATCCCATTGGATCTTACAACTGCCTCAGAAGAACAAATCACATCCCATTGACGTACACTAGATTTCAGCAAAAAGCAGGTATTTCCATTTGATCTAAATTGGAAAATAAAAGAATAGATTCTTCTGCCTCCCACCATCCTTCTTCTCTGTAGTGCATTGCTGTAACACAAGGTTTCCTAGGGTAAGAAGAAATATTTTTATGCAGTCCTGTGTTAAAAAAATACTGGCACCATCCTACTGTACTCCTCTGACTTGCCCCATAGAGGGAAGAGGAGAGATGAAAATTAGGTCAGCATAGACATGGACTACTTATTTTATTAATTTATGCAATTATTTTTTTAATTAAATATATATATTAGATGTGCTAATTAAGTTTTCCGTAAAATGCCAAAGTACAGGCAGTGTGAAAGCCATGACTGATCTGCACGTAATCAAAGAGAGCTTGCAATTTTGTAGGAAGTAGCAAAAATGATATGCAATACCACTGCTGTCTGCTGTGGTATAGAAGTCACTTCTGCATCTATACTTTATTGATTAAAATTGCCTCAGGTAGGATTAAATTGTAATTTGTGACCTACAGCACACAAGCCCTCAACATGATGCATTAAATTTGCCCTTCCTTAATCTTAAGGTTCAGGGAGATAGACAAGTATATTCAGGGTAGATGAAAATTCTATAGCAGTGACCACGTGGATATCTGCTTTATAATGGCTCTTTGTGGGAAAGCTGATTACATCCTGATCTTTCCAATGTTAGGAACTTCCATCAGTGAAGATGGTTTGCTTTCCTGACCCATTGTATCTGTTTCTCATTTAGTTTTTTGCATGCTAGTACTCAATTCACAATTTTCCCCATTATATGAGAACATATAGCCCATATAATGCAGTCCATTACCACATTGGCTGTGGTAATCAAATAATATCTATTTTTTTTATTAGTTATAAATAACTTGCAAGCCAGTGGAAAGACATTTTTTGCAAGTTTTTCCTATGGATCTTCATCTGTTGCTGACATCTGGCTAGGTAATATGCTTAGACATTACTTTACACTATTACCAAGTGCTAACAGATTGCTCTATTGTATTTTGAAAAGGAAGTAATTGGTTAATAAAAAAAAATGAAAATCAGAAATACAGAAGACCCAAGAGCAATATCTTTTAGGCTATGGACAGACATTCAGAAAACCTGAGCCTGAATTGATTCAATCTTTGCAGGTTAGTCTAACCTGGCTAGGCTGAACCAGTTTGTAACTGGGTAGACATCCCCTCTGGACTGAGGAAATTCAGGCACATGTCTGCAGTGCCTCAGGCTAGCAGCTGGTGGGGAGGGGCACTACAGCCCTCCCTTCCCCTTCACAGTGCTGAGCTGGGGGGTGGGTGTGGCTAGGCCCTGGCAGGACACTCTGATTATGGAGGGGTATAAACTCTCACCCTGCCTGCACTGTCCTGGGTTTTTCCCCACTGGCTACTCAAGTGGCAGGTGTGTTGCCAACCCCCAGCCCCCTGCTAGCACTCTGAGGCAAGGGGAGGTGGGGTAGGCAGTGCATGCATCTGCTGATGATACGGAGCTTTTCAATTTCTCTCTCCCTGCTTCTTTATACTGTCTGCAGAAAACTGACAAGCAAGCAAGCCAGCAGGGAGCTGATAACAGTGTTTCTCACCTCATCAGCAAAACAATAGCTTCTCTCCATTAGTTCAAACTCTTCTTAAACAGCTTACCAGCTGACCTGTTGATTAGCTTCAAAAAGCCCTAAGTGGTCACTGTTCTGTTTGCCTGTCCCAGTGAAATTGGAGACACATACAGACACTTCCTAGCATTAGCTAGCATACCACATGCCTAGGGTCTGTGCTGTGGGAGATGGGAGGGGGGAGATCCCTGCTTGAGCAGTAAGGGTTGGGTAGGGCAGGGGGAAGCCAGGCAGAACCTGCTGTACCTGCAGTCTCTGCCATAGCTCCAGCAAGAGGGGAGCAGAGGGGAGGGGCCAGCCCTGTTGTGGAGCAGACAGCCCTGCCCAGCCCAGAAAGCATGCCAGGATGCTGGAGGAGTCTGGTTTAACTTAAACCAGTAAGGGGTCTGGGACAGACATTGCATAAACCAGTTTGTGCCAAATCAATTAAATCTGATACTACATTCAACCAGGTTTATCTCAGACTGGTTTAAGCCATTTTCAGACTGGTTTATGTGCACTGAACATCTGTTCTGTTACAGGTTTAAACCAGTTTCTGATCAGTTAAACTGGTTTATGTGTAACGTCTGTCCCAAGCCTTAGATATAAAAACCCAACTCAGGAAACCAATTATTCTGTAGCTTAGAGAGAAGGTTTACAGTGACAAATTAAAATAAATAATCTGCAGCATGCAAGGAA